TCTGCTGATCGTGACGACATGCTTGCCCAAGTGACGCTTCTGCTTACCCGCGATCTCATGGGCTCGGCAGGGGTCGCTGCGCAGAACTCGTATGTTATGTCCCCTTTTCAGAGTGGCGCTTACTTACGCGCGTGCCAGTGATCGGCCAGTAGCGAGCTGAAAGGACAACATTGACGTCTGTTCGGCGGCACGATCATAACCAGCTCCCGCCTGACCGGTCTTTCACATCCGTGCCGTGATTGCGATGCTCCAGCGATCTCGATCGGCTTCTTGAAAGCCTGTAACAGTCACGAGTATGTGAATTTCCCTCCAAGAAGGGCCAAAGTCATGCATCCGATCGTTCCGCGGGGATTCTTTGAGTCGAGTAAAGAGTTGCAACGAGAGGCTTAATGGCCGCTTGCTTGCTGTCAGGAGGTCAGGCACGCACCAGAAGCTGTGCAATGCAGCTTGCTTCGCTTGGACGTACACGCACCGCCGTTTATGGCGACAAGCCTCGCTCGACAGGGGAGGTCATGCAAGAACGGCGTCATGAACGGCGTCATCTCAACGTTTGTCTCCATCTGACAACATATCGGTGCATGAGTGCCGATCGAGTGCCCCTGACCTGCGATCGGGCCGATCAATATGGATGGGACGAGCAGCGCTCGACCGAGACAGATGGGTGCTTCCACACAAGCAAGACGGACGATTCGGTGCGCAGATAGGCGATTGGCTGATGTGCGTTGGATGCTCCTCTCGGCATTAGCGCGCTCGTAGGCACGCGTCGCGTTTGGTGCGCGGAGAGGCAAAGTCAAAAGTGACATGTGTCGAGCATGACACACACACACGTCATTCGCATTCAATTCCTGCTGACCGCTCTTCAGACGCGATGACGCCCGATCGATGCATCTTACGCTCACATCACACTGGTCACTGGTGACTGCATGGTGACTCACGCACACCTCAAATACGGTCTGTCGATCTCGCGCGATAAGCGTCGCTTTCACCGCCACTCGTCATGGGATTCACATGCTTCAGAAGGCACGTGTGCGATTAAGTTTCACAGTCAAAAGTCAGAAGAGTCTACTGTAAGTCACCATCGTGAGGCTTGAGTCGTGAATTTGGGGTTTGAAGTTTGGCCATGCAGGGTCCTGATGGGCAAACACGTGACTTTCTATGCGTCCCACTGCGGGTTCGCCATTTGCAGCACCCTCTCCACTTGGACTTGCAGCACTCATGCTCACGACTCAAGACTCTCCATTGGATTTACTCATTCGTGAGTCACAACCAGCACCCGGCTACTTCTGATCCCAATGAACCGCACCCATCAAGCTCTACATTAGCCGCCCTACCATAACATCTCCACAAATCAGTCACCACCTGCGAGAGAAATCGAAGAGCTGGCCGCATCAAGTCACGGCCGATCGTCTGGTCGCGCCCTTGGGAAATGTTTGCAGCTTTGGTCAGAAGGGGACTTAATCGCCTGGCGCCCACGAGCTCTCTTCACAATGAGCACAGACATAGTCGCCAAAGCACCATCATCATCATCAGGGCGAGATTTGGGCGAACAGAATGATCTGTCCATTGAGCCTGATATGTCCGCCGCACCGAGCAGTGCTGCGCTTCGCCAATCGCACATGACGCCCTCGAATGCGCGACCGCGAGAGAGGCGAAGTCCAAAGCGAGCGCCGCCAGCTTTTCTGCTGCAAATACGAGCCTCGCACAATGCACTCAGATCCAGCGACCTGATCGGCTGGTCCAGCTCTGGCGGACTGCGACCCACAAATAAAGACGGGAACTGCATCAAGGATGCTACCGGTGCTCTCGAGTCACCAAGCAAGGATCAGCGCATCGACGTGGATGGTGACGGCTTGGTACATGGCCGTGCGAGCCAAGAGACAGAGATCGACATGGACGAGGCGTTAGACTGGGAAGCAGAAGACTACGATGATGAGACTCTCACAGCCAGTGCTTGCTTCATCGACTGGGAGCGCAGAAAGGTGACAAGCCCGCAAAGGGGGCACACAAAGCTTGCCGCACCTCTGCCAGATGCCAGTCCGAGCGTACAGCACAAAGAGGAGACGGCTGTTGCGCCGCACGCCGGAAAGGTACGCGAGCCGCTCTCCCTCCACTCGAAGTGCTCGATCGATCAGCTGGCATCCAGCCGTGATGCTTCTGAGCGGGCGACCTCGACCGACTTGAGCGCAGGCGCCATCTTGCGCGCTCAGACAAGCACGGACACGCAGAAGCTCGATGCTGCGAACGCGGAAAGGGATGCCACGCCTCACATCCGGTCCTCGCCCGCCTCTTCTGGCCTCGCAAAGCCATTAGCGCCTCCCGATGACGACGTAGCACCGGGCGTCGAGGCTTCTGTCTCATCAGCGACGTTTTTGCCCTCCAGCGCAGCTCCACTACCTGCACAGGCAGCTGCCACTTCTGCCGCAGTCTCTGCACCCAGCACAGCACAAGGTGCGAGCAACGAGGACCCAACCTTGGTGCCACCAGACAACTTTGCGATGGTCAACACTTGGGTGTACAGGTCCAGCTTTCCCAAGAAGAAGCACTTTACTTTCTTGAAAACACTGGGACTCAACAGTGTCTTGTGAGCTGCCCGAAACCCCTTTGGCTCCGCCTCGATCAGCGTCTTGACGTTTATCTGCATCTTTGCTTCTCGCAGAACTCTCATCCTGGAGGAGTACCCAGCTCAGAACATGAAATTTTTGCACGATGAAGGGATTCGCTTCTTTCAATTTGGTATTCCTGGTAACAAGGTGAGTGTCCAGCAATCAAAAAGCAGTCTGGTGCTCGTATGACGCAACTGATTTCCCCTCCCACCATCTTGGAACACTGCAGGAGCCCTTTGTGCAAAGTGAGCCTAACTTGGCGCCGCGGCAGGCTCGAGCTTCGGCTCATACTGACAGACATGAAACCGCTTCCTTTTCAGTACCCGAAAACATGATCACTGCAGCTCTCATCACCATTCTGGACCGCAGAAATCACCCTATGTTGATACACTGCAACAAGGGCAAGCACCGTACGGGATGTTTGATTGGCTGTCTGAGAAAGTTGCAACAGTGGAGTTTGACCACCATCTTTGACGAGTACAGGAGGTTTAGTCATCCGAAGTCTCGAAGCATGGATCAAGAGTTCATCGAGCTTTACCAGGAGAATAGAGTGTGGTCTGAGGTTGGGTACAGGTGGTTGCCGCGATGGTGAGTGACCCGCCCGCACTTTCCTTCCGTCCTTTCCTGCACGTGTGCTTGACCTGATGCACACGGATGTGCCTTTGCGATGCGTGTGTCAGGACGGTGCTGCATAAACGTGCCACTATGATCGCTGCAGCACAGGGCATCGGTACGACTTCTTCGTCGGACGAAGACATTAAACAAGAGCAGGAATTGCCTTTCTCATTACCAGACGCCGTATCACGCACAAGGGCACACGGTTTGCGCAGAGGAAGAGGACGCAGGAAACAATTGGGCGTGGCGGAGCCCACGCATGGACTGTAGCATGGAATGACTTGCGCTCGGCTTGCACCCCCGCCTCTGAACATCGATTCCTCTTCGACTCGCGTTTCTGAACCTCATGGACTGAATCGCACCAAGCCATCCTCGCGTCTCTCCGTCTTCGTGTGCCACGACTCGCCGCGTGTAGTGCGCCCCGTGTGGTGCTACTTGCCCGCCTGCAAATCTGCGGATCGCCAAACATTGTACAGGGCTGCCAAATTGTGGGCAACTACTTCGATGACACGCACGATGCTGCGAATAGACAATACATAATTGACCTTTTGATTTGCGTCGTACTCTCGCAAGAAACAATGCACTACATCTCTGGGCTTCGTCTCTGCTTCTGAGCGAGATGCGCTCAGTTCTTGACCCAGAGGTCGACAAACTTGTGAGCGTCGAGGCTGATCAGCTTCTCGTGGTCATCGATCAAGCTGAGCAGCTCTTGCTTCTTGGCCTCGTCGAATTGGCCCTCGAGGTGAACGCCGAGCTTCTTCTTGATGAGAGGAATGGACTCCTCACGACGTGCGCGCTAATGATAGCAGAGAGATCGGCAGAAGGGGCCAAAAAGACCTCTCGTGATCAGCGTTGTGCCTTAGAGCGCGACAAGACGAGTCAGCCAGTCACTCACGTGGCCCACGGGGTACTCGAGCGCGACGGGGCCGAGCTTGGAGCCGTCAGTGAACTCGAGCTCGACGCTGTTTCCGATGGTGCGCTTGGAAGGGTCCAAGTAGGTCTCCGTGTAGCCAGCGTCCTCCTCGACCCACATCTTCTCACGAAGAGAGTCGATCGCTGCACCGTGCTCGGCGGCGAAGTCGTCTCCGTACATGTGAGGCTCGCACTTGCCGAAGAGCAAGCCGAGGGCAGCCATGTACTGCAGACTGTGGTCACGGTCGGCTGTGGGAGCAAGGGAAAGAAATGAGCCCTCAAATCACGACGTGCTCCTACTGAGATGTTCGCCGGGTCCGCAAACTCACCGTAGTTGGCCAAGTGACCAGCCTTGCTAATGATACGGATAGCGCTGTCCTGAGTCAAAATCTTGATCTTGCTGATGTCCTTGGCGGTCTTTCCAGCCTCGGTGAACTTCTGGTTCAGAATGATGGAAGCCTCGACAGCCGTCTGAGCGTGGAACTCAGCAGGTACAAGCTTGAAGAGGACGTTCTCCATCACATAGCTTCCGTAACCTCTCTCGAACTCAAAGGCCTTGCCCTTGAAGAGCACATCGTAGAAGCCCCAAGTCTTGGCAGTCAGCACAGAGTTGTATCCCATCTCTCCCTTTTGAACCAGAAGAGCAAGGTTCACAGCGCGGCTGCATGCGTCACCGGCAGCCCAAGACTTTCTGGAGCCGGCGTTGGGAGCGTGCCTGTAAGTACGCAGGGACTGGCCATCCACGAACGCCTGAGAGATGGCGTCCACAGTCTGGTCACGGGTGTTGCCAAGAAGTTTGGAGACGACGGCAGTGGAGGCGACCTTGACGAGGACGACGTGGTCCAAACCAACGCGGTTGAAGGAATTCTTAATGGCCAAGTTGCCCTGAATCTCGTGGGCCTTGATAGCACCCTCGAGAATGTCCTTGACCTTCAGGGGAGCCTTACCCTCAGCGACAGCAGTGCGGCTGAGCCAGTCGGTGACAGCAAGAATGGAACCGATGTTGTCGGAAGGGTGACCCCACTCGGCTGCGAGCCAAGTGTCATTGAAGTCTAACCAGCGGATCAGAGCGCCGTTGTTGAAAGCAGCACGGATCGGGTCCAGCTGGTAGTTGGTGCCTGGCACCTACGCATCCAAGAGCGAGCAAAAGAACATAGCGTGAGCTTGCGACTGACTTGGGCTGCAACCTGAACCTCCACACTGTCACCCACCTTAGCTCCGTTCGGCACGACGGTGCCGGGAACCACGGGGCCGAGGACAGCACGAGCGCCAGGGTAGCGCAAAGCTTCCATGTGGCAACCCAAAGAGTCCATCAGGCACAGCCGGGCAGTGTTCCAGGCTGTCTCGGAGGTGATTTCGAAGCTGCGAGACGGAGCTCTTGCATCAGTGTCTGACCGTTCTGCGAGATGAGCAAGATTCGGAACCTTGGCACTCACTTGTGCACATACTGCAGTGAAGAAGCAGCACCAGAACAGACAGAGAACAGTCAAGTCGGAGGACAGTGATCAGAGGCAGCAAGCGCATACATGCGGCACCAGAGCGAGCCCACCCTCAGCTCACTCACGTCGGCAATGTCCTGAACGACCTGATCGGGGTCAGGGCGGACATTGGATTCACCAAGACCAGCACCGCCAGCCATCTTGCTAGCAGAGGTGGAGAAGAGGGCGGCGCGAAGGTTGTAGGGTTGGCGGGAGGAAGCCTTGGAGGGGGCGGGACGGGAAGCGTTTAGCAGAGAGACGCTGGAAGCTCGGACTGCGCTTGTGCTTGTGCTGCTCAGTGCTCGGTTGGACGATGCGCGGAGAAGCGAGAGACCGGAAGTCGCAAGGCGGGTCATCTGTGCATGATGATGAGGATTAGGAGGAGGGGGAGGAGGAGTGATAGGGCGAGCGAGCGTGAGAGACCGCTTGCACTGACGCAGACTGACTAGCGCGTCCGTGTGCCATCCAACTTACCGCCGTAGTGGGAAAGAGAGTGCTTTGGGGATAAGAGTGGGAGGGTGTAAATGCCAACGATGTGTCACGGCGATGGCGAATGGCAGGGATGTAGGTCGTGGATGAGAAAAGAGAGGTGAGAGCAATGCCAGCAACGTTTGATACTATTTCAGCTTGCGACACTCGTCAGACTTTTCCACTGGCTGTCATGGACTCAAGAGCTTCGCGCACTGCGACTGCACGTTGGATGTACTACTCCTCGTGACTGCTACTGTATCAGATCTGATGCGCTGGGCATTCACGATCGTGCTTCTTTGGCGGTACAATTCACACTCACACTGCCATAGGGTGCAGCGGCGGAGGTCCAATGACCCCTTCCTTGAAGCACAGATGACAGCAAGCTGCTAC